AGTGATGATTCAAATACCTTCCCATGAAATTTGGATTTGTTGAATTTTTTCTTTGGTCACTCTTGGGAGTAAAGGAGTTTACGGACCAAGGCGCAGTAGTTTAGGCCATTTTCTATAGTTTTGCGATCCTTTGCAAGTTAACGTTACAAAGAAATGAGAGGATCCCCAATAGGGTTCCTCAATCCCGTAATTCGTGACATCCCGTGATTCCGATGGTTATTTTTGGCATCCCACCTCTCTTGCATTCCTTAAATCCCGAATCTTGCCCCGATTTTGCTTTAAATTTCCCGAACCCCGAGCATTAAATACGGGAAATCCCGGATCCCGAACTGAAACTTATTGGCGATCCTCAAATTACGTTTAAATGATAAAATAATAGCTTCGTGACACAAACAAATTTTTTTTTCTAGGCGTTAAAATCAAAGTTACAAACATCAAATACAAACCTTAAATTACTCTGGTTGTATAGTTTGAAAGAACAGCAATATTGCAATTGAGGTTAATCTTTTCGGTTTTTGTCCATCCATAGCTTCTCCTGTTTTTGCCTTTTATATCTTACATATTTCACCAGGAGAAAAAAGTGGCGTGTTCTTTATCAGTGGTTTAATAAACTGCGTGACAATAGCTACTTTAAAAAGTATTTCCAAGCACCGGTCTATTCCTATAGTTCACAATGATATGGTCCCCAAATTAAAAATTTTACGGTTTTCCTCGCGCATTCTCGACCTCCATAATTACGTGTTCATGCACCTCTGTAATGGATTTGTCCCTGTGGTATCTGTTTTAATGAGGAGGTTTAACTGTACGAATATGCGCCTACTATCCACGCTCGAACGCTAACTTGACGAGCAATAAGGGTGTCAGCTTTAGTAGCCAATCAACTACTCGCGAATGACTACGAATTTTACGCCTGAGTGTGCGCTCGAAGACGAATGTTTTATTTCCTCTGAATTAAGAAAAGACGGAAAAACTTGGACGTTTCCAATTCTTCTATGGTTAACAAAATTGCCCTTGCTCCGACAAGTGCAATTTTCCATTTTAAAGCATAAAATTATCCGTGTAGGAACATGTAAGCATTATCTTCAAGAACAAGCAAAGTTCTCAATGCGTGGCGGTCCAATTCGTGAATGTGCTGTCTTAACTAGGATTTCATGGCAATAGACCTTCCTAGTTCTCACTCGTTACGTCATGGAATAGTATCTTCCATGCCTCTGTTGAGGGATTTGATCCTTTGATGTAAGCGCCACGAAAAATCCATACTCACCAGCCGACCTCGGAGAAGGAGAGGGAGATGACATGGAACCAGTTGATGATGAACCCATGCTTTGCCGTTTTCGGCGCATTTTTTCCAAGTTTCTTACGCCAGGAAAGTCAGCGGAGAGTCGAATCAACCTTGGGCGACTGTAGTTAAATTTGGCGGGATCTCCCTTTTTGTATGGGTCTTGGTTAAACGCCGANGGAGATGACATGGAACCAGTTGATGATGAACCCATGCTTTGCCGTTTTCGGCGCATTTTTTCCAAGTTTCTTACGCCAGGAAAGTCAGCGGAGAGTCGAATCAACCTTGGGCGACTGTAGTTAAATTTGGCGGGATCTCTCTTTTTGTATGGGTCTTGGTTAAACGCCGAAGATGTCTCCGACGTATCATCGCTTGGATCGTAGCCGAATGAACTATCATCGTTGATGAATTCTGGCGGCGCGGAGTCCACAATCAGATCTTTAAGACGGGTCGATAAGTCATCGGTACTTTGAACAGATTCAGGATAACCCCGATGAAATGTGGGAAGGGTAGCAGACGAAAGTCTGTCATCTTCGATGCTCTGTTCGAGCAGGTCGAACTCATAAGCCAAAGTAGGAGGTGCAGATTTTGGGCGTTCGGGTCTCTTTCTCGATCCCGACACGACAGGATTGTTAAGAACGCACATTCGAGACCGACGATGTGGAATGCCGTTGGGTTCAATGTCGACCTTCCATCCAGCAATATGTGAACGAGGCTCGGTGGGGTCGAAATGGTGCGTGTACTGCGAGACGTACATCTCTTTTAAATCACTGTTTCTTGGTGAGTGATGATCATGTATGGGACATAAACCTTCCGACTGGACATCTTCGCGACACACAGCATCCACTATGTCCTCCACTGCCTCCGGAATTGGCTTCATCTTGATGCGGTACAGGTCTGGAATGGAAACCGAGCGATGCTTCTGCGATACACCTGCCGTACCACACATTCGAAGCTCGATTCGGTCCGGAAGCGGCGCTTTTGAGGCTATGAAATAGTTACCCTCTGAAACAACAGATATGTACTTTTTGCAAGGCGAGCGTTTTGTGGTTGGTCCATTCATCATCTGCGCTTTGTCCTTGGAGAAGTCTTTGTTCCATTTTTCCGTACCCCATCCGCGATAGAAGTCGTCTCGCTTTTCCCTTTCCCAGGGGTAAGAACTATGTAGATCACTACTGTCAGAATATGCACGCATGGCTTTTGTGCTGGCGAAACTGCAAAACACCAAAAATATAAAATTAATTACAGGCATTCGACGCGACGACAAAACAAACTGATTTAAAATAGACTAAAGCCCTTATTATGGCGTGGGAAAGGAAGAAACCGTGTGCATGTGCAAAACAATAAAAGCCTTTACTAGAACTGTGGGGAAAGGAACGGCAAAAACCTGAAAACTGAACCAACTTGAACCTGTTCACTCTTAGAAATGAAATCCTTCAATGGCGACCTTTAGGTAATGTTCACACTCTACTAGATAGCTAGCCTGCGAGCAAGAATAAGCTCTCCTATTTGGGCGAGTGAAACGAGAGCTTGCTCGCAGGCTTCCAGATAGCTCTTCATACCGACACGAAAAGCTATTCGGTAAAGTACGAACACCTATCCGATATGTAGACTGCGAGCAGTCTCTCTTTTTCTTCAGATTTAGTGAGAGCAGTGCACGCGCACGGGAGCGGCGAAGCCACGAGACGTGCGAAACGAGGAGGGCAGACCGAGAAGAAAAAAAAAAGATTCTCTCTTTTTCGTGCCTCTCCCGTCTCGCGCCTTAAGTCACGCCCGTGGCCATTTGCGTGTCTCGCGTTTTGGTCGACGGACTACAAGAAAAAGAGATACTGCTCGTAGTCTATCCGATCATATGTGACTCTCCACTTTAGAGATCGGCGCGAGGCAGCTTCGCTCCGTTGCAGAAATCTCGCCGAAATAACCTTCTTATATGTCAACCGATGCCCTATCACGTATGGGTTTATTGATCCGGTATACTGAGAACATAGCCTTAGCTATCACTAACTACGGGATCATGCAAGTTTTGCTTGTTAGTACAGAATTTCGGGTTGAAATTTTGTCCCTAGATCTCTTGTTCATTGATGCCCTGACCATGTATCACATCGGCCGGGGCTGATTTCAAGAAGTTGGTGTGAACACTACATTACGTACACAAACTAATAATTTAAAAATGTTGTACTAATACTCAGACTCTCTCTTTCAGTCTCACTAAATGGTATCTAATTGTTAAGCGTTGTTTAGAAGCTTTTCTTAATGTTTTCTTTTTTTTCTCTTACACTCCCAACGCTTAGGCCTCCGAGGTAACTTCGAACGAAAGAGTCAACCCCAAATTTAACGACTCAATTCTGCTCTAAACTGTACCTCGATGTGTCAGTTGTATCTTGGTCGTGTACACCAATCTTCGCCCAACGAGATTTTATAAAACTATCAAGTTGTTCTGAGAGGTTATCTTTGTGTGACAGGCAGTCTTTTTCTGTGTCTCCTTCACCAAAAAGATCTAACTGTCTGGAGTCCAAACGCTTACCACGAAACGACTAAATCATTTACCGTTGACTAGCCTGTTCCCACGCTCTGTTTATGAGAAGCATGCAAATCAGCAGATCATTTCACAAAAGAATGTATGGAGTCTTTTGTTATTTCTTTAAGGAACAGAGTATAGTTGTTGACATTTGGTACTCGAGAATCATCGACGCGGTTCGCGGCCTTGAAGTTATTCATATGGCGAGATTTTCAGATACAGTTTCCTGATAGACACATAAGTTTGCAGAGTATAGCTCAGTCAATGCAAATCATTATAGTTCAGTTTGTAAGTCATGCATTTTTTATGACTGTTCCTATCACTTTGCGGCGACATTTCTGCCAGTTCTAGAGGTTTCGTATAAGCGAAGAAACAAATCCAGTGCCCATTTTTTTTAAGCCAATTACTGCGCAAGTACGTTTTTGCTAAAGTCACTGACCGTTACCATAGTTTTAAAAAAGAGATAAGCACAATTATCATCTTTCAAATCTAATAAATAAAAGCAAACGTTAAACAGGCACCTACCTAATCGCAGTAGTCTAAACAAGAGTCAAACGGATTGGCAACGTAAACCGGACAGACAAGAAAATCTTTCATAGAATTGTCTGGCTTTAAAATTTTACAAAACAAAACTTTCCCTGTGAAAGAATACGTAAAGAATTGCCTTTGTGAAAGTAGCTACTTACAAAATTCATTCTCTGAATTAAAAAAAAACAAAAACAAGCAAAGTTCTATATGATGATAAAACGTATGAACACGGCGTATATTTTTGTTGCATTATTAAACTCACCGACTGGTTAGCTCACTCGAGCGTTCACCTCTAGAAGTTTTAGTTTGCTTGTCGAAATAAAAAAATCACTCTTTGCTAGTGAGTTACCTTTTTACGTATTATTTAATTGACTAAGCTTCTTACTTCGACTTTATACTTTTTTGCATTCCCGCAGTTTTCAGGTTTTCATGCCGAGACCAGCAGAAGTCGTTACCCCAGTGGGAAAAAAAATTTATCCTTACCTACCCTTGTATTTCAGTTTGAGAATGTGAGGGAAGCCTCGTCAAAATGTGTTTTCATCTGTTGTCGCTTTTTTCAAGGGTTGTTTACATAATGCGACATTGTGATTTTTAACAGGTGATTGCTAAGTATTTTTAACAGAATTTGCTAGCAGCTTTTCATAAATCAGAAATAACCTTGGTCACCAGCAGAACGCCATTAAACGGGCTGGCGCGCTTGAAAAGAAAACAAAGGTTTAACAATTATTGCAAGCGTGCCGCCCACCCTTCCGTATCTGATTGTGGCTAACTGTTATTAACAAAGTTAAACGCAAACACAAATGCAAATCTTGTTTTCTAAAACACTCATTGGTTGATAACATCGCAAGAAGGACTGCTCCAATAGGATCCGGGATTTCCCTTGTTTGAACCTCGGGATTCGGGATTTTAAAACAAAATCGGGCAAGATTCGGGATTGAAAGTATGTGTGGGAGTTGGGATAGCAAAAATGTAACCCTCGGGATCACAGGATTGTTAAAATTTTGAGACGGAATTACGGGACTGAAGAACCCTGTTGGTTTTGGATTAAATGCTGACACTTAAGACACTGCCTTGGATCAAACCATATTTTAGAATGTCTCAAAAATACTCAGACTCCTCGTCCAGGATAGAGGGTCCCCGATAGGATTACTTAATCCCGTCATCCTGACCCTTATTTTCGTGCATTCCCGTAATCCCGATGTTTGTTTTTGGCATCCCGCGTCCCGAGCGTGCTTTCAATCCCAAATTTCGCCTCCAGTATGCTTTAAAATCTCGAATCCCGGCTTTCAAAGACGGGAAATCCTGCATCCCGAAAAACCTATGGAGAATATTGAGGTCCCTAAGGATACAGAGTCTCTGATTCCTTGCTCTTTATGCATTTGAGTGGATCCCAATGAAGGTAGATTCATCGACAGAATGATAAACTGNGCGTCCCGAGCGTGCTTTCAATCCCAAATTTCGCCTCCAGTATGCTTTAAAATCTCGAATCCCGGCTTTCAAAGACGGGAAATCCTGCATCCCGAAAAACCTATGGAGAATATTGAGGTCCCTAAGGATACTGAGTCTCTGATTCCTTGCTCTTTATGCATTTGAGTGGATCCCAATGAAGGTAGATTCATCGACAGACTGATAAACTGATGGCTTATATTAGGTTTCGAAACTGGAACACTATTCACTGTCCGGTAAATGGTGGCGTCTTAAACAAAACTGTACCTTGCTGGTTTCCAAAAACATTAATTAAGATAAAGTAACGAGTTTTGGATAAAACAACTGGTTCTGCGACAAGCGACAACATGAGCTGGCTAGTTAATATTTCTACACCGTTGGGTTTTAGAAACATTGATCACAAATGAAATTTTACAACACATCGTTAAAAACTCGATGTTTTTTTTACACAGCATGTGACAGTTTTGGTATGCTTGGAATCCCGCACTGCACAGGGGTTCGTAATAGGCTTAGAGGTGGTGTTTATGCATAATGATCTGCGGTTAGAGCACTAAACGCTGTTAATCAAGTCACAGCAGTACAGTAAGTCGGTTTCGCCACAAAACCTAGCAAGAGAGCTATAGGTCTACTGTTTATTATTAGAAGTAAAAAAAGGTAAATTTAGGCGTCTGAACTGATACTTTCCTCAGTCAAATTGATTCTGAAACCGGTATAATAAATGTTTTGATACTCTTAAAAATTAAATTTCAAACGAAATGCATACGTCACGATTAAGGTTCTCTAGCACACTTATATCAGCACGAGGGCTGGATATTATTTTGCGGAGAAGGCAACAAACGTCAGAAAACGTATTTTAACTAACCAGGATACTTAACAAGGCAAGCGTGATCGACAAGTGTAGCCTCTGTTTTCAAACTCTACAACAAAGGTTACAGAAGAAGAAAAAAAACCACGTTATTTTTGGAATCGCGTTTTTATCAGTTATGGACTATCCCAGCAGCTGCTCTCTCTGGTCACACACGGCAATGATATGCCAAGCCAAACCGTCCAGAAGAGGATTGAGTTTTAAAATTACGTTAGAAATTGTTATCGCCAACCGAGAATCAATGATATTTTCGACATAATCACACACAGCGAGAAAAAAAGTTATATCAAGCTAAGTAAATATTAAATTAATTATTAATAAATTTTAGAGTATATCTGAATGTTCCAGTCTCTTCGTTTTCCGGTGATATTCGCATTAGAACTCTTTGAAATAGTCTTATGCAGTTTGATACTAAATTTCAACGGATAATTCAGTCATATGAGGGTCATCAGCACCTTCGTTGTTCATTTAATTTTCGTCCTTTTGTACCTCCCCTCAAACTAACTTTGGACCAGTAAAGTACATTAGCTGAGCTGTCCACGATGATAATATTTCCCTTTTTTCGTGAATTTTGCGTGTTTTCATAAAGAACTTCAAGAATCTTGGATCGTTACAAAGAATGACACACATGACAAAACACGTCAGCAAAGCTGGTAAAGTTGACCCGGGTGATAGGGTAACTCGCCTAGCACAAGGGTAACCCTCTCCCCATGTAAACAGGCCCTTAATTGATTCTGTCCGCACCGAGTACATAACCCAATATCGTCGCTGCTTAGAAACGAAAGAAGTTTGAGTCAGATTTCGTCAAATCCAGTATGGTCGGTTGATTGTAAACAACCTATATCTAAATATAGACTGTCGAACCCAAGACTTTAATATCCTAAAATATTACGCCTACTAACTTTTGGCTTTGAAATAACAAAGGGATTAGACAAGGACAGAAATGCTTTGAACATCTGTCTCTAGTTGTTTCATATGCAAATTTGACGCGACTGGNTGCTTAGAAACGAAAGAAGTTTGAGTCAGATTTCGTCAAATCCAGTATGGTCGGTTGATTGTAAACAACCTATATCTAAATATAGACTGTCGAACCCAAGACTTTAATATCCTAAAATATTACGCCTACTAACTTTTGGCTTTGAAATAACAAAGGGATTAGACAAGGACAGAAATGCTTTGAACATCTGTCTCTAGTTGTTTCATATGCAAATTTGACGCGACTGGAAAGAAAGCTTTCATGTCACCCAGATCTTAAATAATAAACCTCTGTTTAGTTGCAAAGTACTTCAACGAAATTACCATTAACTCATAAAAAATTTCGTGTGGAAGCTAAGAACAACTTTAGTAGTCTGAGCGATACATACAAAAAAGAAAAAAAAAGATATCACGCGTTACTTTGGTAAACCGCAAAAAGACGGAATTTTGATGCTTGCTTCCGTAGGCCTCCGGGCCCCAATATAAGCTCCACAATACTTAGAGGGGCATCGTTGGTACGTTAAGGCATGGACCACAAAACGAACATTAACTAATACAACAGAAGCTGACTTTAATTGCGTTAGTGAGATCTTGAAACTCCGCTTACACTATAGAAAGCCGTTCAGTTCTTTAAGGTCAGATAAATAAAGCAATTAGCGAGGGCTGCACGTATATTAATTTGTTTTTCATGGCGAAATAATCCATGTTTGAAGTTTTCCCTGAACGTCAATACTGCATTAGGGGTACAATTTGCCAAACTTGTACAAAAGTCGTTCTAAGGGCATTTCACAGTTTTTATTTGCTCTCAGTAAATAGCTCCAAAGTTTTTCGTAGTTTAACTCCAAAACCTATCCATATTGTTTCAGTATTCAGAATGCAGTGGGCCGAATCGATTTTGTCAGCTTGAATCTGCTACGTTGGAAATAAATAGTTACGCCTTCCCACACCAACTCGAGTGTTCATCTACATCTCGAAGCAGAGAACTTTGATCCCATGATTGACGCCAAACGAGTAACAAAGACACACAAAACGAATCTTTTTGTGCTACCTCAGAAATCACGACAAGA